CGCACGGCGCTCTGCATGGGCGACTCGGGGGCGAAGCTTGTCCGTGGCGTGTGCGACGACTGCGTGCGCGGCGCGTTGGTCGATTGCGGCGTGAGCCGCTGCCTCCCCGCTCCTGTGGCAGCAGCCGACGTGCTCGGAGACGGCACTGTTTCTGCCGCAGGAGCGGCGAAGGCTCTGCGGGGGATTCTGTCCCTTGCAGGCGTAGGCGGCCAGGCGCGGCAACAGCAGCGGCGCCAGCCGCACGCAACAGGCGACAGCGTCATTCTTGAGCGACGCATTCCACCCACAGCGCTACTGGTGGAGGTCATGGTGGCTCTCACTCCAAACGAGGACCGGGACGCACACGGGCGGTATCGGCATTTGTGTGCGATGGATCCACGAACACTTGTCAATGACCGTGTATTGCTGGTGCAGCAGTACCACAGCGCACGGCATGACTTTGGCCGCGCGAACAGCATGGTCGCAGTGGTGTGGAACGACATGTTGCGCTCAGGCGTCCCCGCGCTATCACGCCCCACTGCTACTACGCTGCACAGGGAAATGGAACTGCTGCCAACAACAGCGTTGTTCGAGGATTCCGCACCACTAAAGCAGCAGTACACGCACGCACCACGCACTCTGGCGGAGTTGAGAAATCGGCTTGAGCAGCCGGACGAGAATACTGCTGCTGCTACTACTACTACTACTAGTGCTACTACTTCGGGTGGTCGTGCACACTTCGGGTATGAAGCATATGTGTCACGTTGCCTTGCTGCACACATTGCTGACACTCACGCTCTGCGGCGGATGCGGTGGGCCCTTGTTGGTGGTGCACTTCTTGCTGTTGATGAGGAAAAGCTGAGAGGCACGCAGCGGCTGTGGTCACGGCTGCTGCTCCGCAATGCCTTTATCATCGCTCAGCATGCGGCCACACCACAGGAGCGCGCCCGCGACACGCAAGCAACGGTGCGGCTTTTCCTGCTCGCTGCTCTCTTTGCCACCCCCGCGGCTGACGCGCCCGCTGCGCAACAAATGCCGTGGCGGGCCGCCAGAGTTCGAAACCTCCCGCAGTTCCTTGCCGCGCAGGTACGCCTCGCGGAAGCGCTTGAGTCGCGACCCGGCGACTGTGTCTCTGCGCAAGATGCTCGCAAGCGTCAAGAGTTTCTCACCCACTTCAAGGCTGCAGCAGGGCTACACAACAGCGACGCAAACAACTCAGCTGCATGGTGCCTTGTCGAGCCGTTACTTGAGCTGCCGGAGATAGCGGCACTGTGGCTGCAGGAAACTTTTTTTGCCCCACCACACGACCTCCTCGCGTGGATCACCGCCCGGATTGACAGAAATGACACGGGCGCCGCTGTGTCCCTCGCCACGTGGCTGACGTTTCTGGAGCGCACAGGCTACGACGATACCGCCTTCCTTTGCGTGGTTCTCACGGAAACCACCAAGCACTGCGCACCACAGCAGCTGCAACAGCTCAGAGAGTGGGTGCACGCACCGAGTACGCCACCAACCCTTCAAATACCCCGTCGCTGAATAACTCAATACAGAACAAACACTAAGATGTAACACTTGATACAGTTCATTCATTACCCGATAACCACTAACACGTCCCACTATATCTCTCCGCTAAAATCACAAAAGAAAACAAGTATTCCAACAGAATATAACAACAAGTCATGAGCCAGAAGGATGTGCAGGACGTCGTGGCCCCCGAGGACCAGCAGCAGCCGGCGGTGCCGGAGGTGACGGACGTCACGCTGGAGGCTGCCCGCAAGCAGAAGATCCACAACCTGAAGCTGAAGACCTCCTGCCTGTCAAACGAGGAGTTCATTCAGGACCTGCATGTGTCGGACTGGAGCGAGACGCAGAAGCAGAAGCTGCAGGCTGCGCACGAGAAGGCGCAGGAGCTGCTCGGCGCCGTGGAAGGCGGGACGAAGTGGAACCTGACGGAGGCGTACGACATCAAGAAGCTGATGCGCGTGTGTGGCCTGCAGCTGTCTGTGCGCGAGCTGTACAAGCCGGAGGATAAGCCGCAGTTTATGGAGGTCGTTGCGCTGAAGAAGACCCTGAACGAGCTGAAGCAGCACCACAACAAGACCCGCACGGTGTCCTTCACCGGGACCATCGACAACGCGATCGCAAAGCTGGAGAAGATCGAGGACGAGCTGCGCCGCTCGCAGCTGGACGCGTCGGAGATGGCGCAGGTGCCCGTTGCAGTGCTGAAGAACCTCGAGGGGTGCATGAATGTGACGGTTGTGCAGACGGCGCTGCTCGGCAACGAGGAGCAGATCAAGGCGCAGCTGGCAGCGATCGAGAAGGCGAAGGAGATCCGCAACGTGTCGCTCGCGGACGGTGAGATGGCGATCGCGGAGGAGCAGTACTACATCAAGGCGCAGCTGCTGGAGCACCTGGTGGAGCTGGTGGCCGACAAGTTCCGCATTATTGGGCAGACGGAGGACGAGAACAAGCCGTTTGGCCGCATCCAGGACGTGCAGAAGAAGTCGTTCCAAGAGACGTCGGCAATCAAGGACGCGAAGCGGCGGCTGAAGCAACGCTGCGAGGACGACCTGAAGAATCTGCACGACGCGATCCAGAAGGCGGACCTCGAGGACGCGGAGGCGATGAAGCGGTTTGCGTCGCAGAAGGAGAAATCGGAGAAGTTTGTCCAGGAGAACCTCGACAAGCAGGACGAGGCGTGGCGCCGCATCCAGGAGCTGGAGCGCGTGCTGCAGCGGCTGGGGACGGAGCGCTTCGAGGAGGTGAAGCGCCGCATCGAGGAGAACGACCGTGAGGAGAAGCGCAAGGTGGAGTACCAGCAGTTCCTCGACGTGTGCGGCCAGCACAAGAAGCTGCTGGAGCTGTCGGTGTACAACTGCGACCTGGCGATGCGGTGCATTGGGATGATGGAGGAGCTGGTGGCGGAGGGCTGCAGCGCCATCAAGTCGCGCCACGACAAGACGAACGAGGAGCTAACGGACCTGCGGCTGCAGGTGCACCAGGAGTACCTCGAGGCGTTCCGCCGCCTGTACAAGACGCTGGGGCAGCTGGTCTACAAGAAGGAGAAGCGCCTAGAGGAGATCGACCGCAACATTCGCACGACGCACATCCAGCTGGAGTTCGCCATCGAGACGTTCGACCCGAACGCGAAGAAGCACTCGGACGCAAAGAAGGATCTGTACAAGCTGCGTGCGCAGGTGGAGGAGGAGCTGGAGATGCTGAAGGACAAGATGGCGCAGGCCCTGGAGATGTTCGGTCCCACCGAGGACGCGCTGAACCAGGCTGGCATCGAGTTTGTGCACCCCGCCGAGGAGGTGGAGGACGGCAATATGAACCGCCGCAGCAAGATGGTGGAGTACCGCGCGCACCTGGCGAAGCAGGAGGAGGTGAAGATCGCCGCAGAGCGCGAGGAGCTGAAGCGCTCCAAGACGCTACAGAGCCAGCAGTATCGCGGCCGGACAGTGCAGCAAATTACCCAGTAGTGCTCCCATGGGCCCTTCCACACTCCCTTCTTTCCGATACTTCGCCCCCCCCCNCCCCCCCCCTCCCCACGTTTATGTATGATTGCTATGTAATACCCTGGAATGTTGAGGCGTGCAAGTGCCGTTAATGCTGCAGCGTCTCTCACCGCAGATGGGGCGGCTGTACTGCGCGGTGCCCCGCGCGGGTTTTGTTTCAACCACGACACTATGGAAATGGGCAGGGCATCCTGCCGGTACGTCTGTGATCACGCGCATTTGCTGCTGCTTTCGTGGTGTGGCACACTCCTCCCTGATCCCCATCCTCATCCTCGCCCTTTTCTCATCCTTTTCTCTGGCCCCGTCTCCCTTTTCCACTCCCCCAGCAAAGCAAAGCGCAGCACACAACCCACCTCAGCCAATAAACGAGCCATGAGCCAGAAGGATGTGCAGGACGTCGTGGCCCCCGAGGACCAGCAGCAGCCGGCGGTGCCGGAGGTGACGGACGTCACGCTGGAGGCTGCCCGCAAGCAGAAGATCCACAACCTGAAGCTGAAGACCTCCTGCCTGTCAAACGAGGAGTTCATTCAGGACCTGCATGTGTCGGACTGGAGCGAGACGCAGAAGCAGAAGCTGCAGGCTGCGCACGAGAAGGCGCAGGAGCTGCTCGGCGCCG